TTAAATAACTGATTCAAATTCAAAATTTATTTAGTACTAGAAACAGGGTGAATCCATATTACCATTGCTTTAAATGCGAGTTATTTATTTGACTGATATAAATAATAAATAAATGAAAAAACAGAATTAGATCAATCAAATGATTTATTTTTTTTCTTTGTAGCACTACTGCTAGTATTTGATTAATAAGCAAAAGATATTTTATAAAAAGTAGGGTTATAAACTAATGATAAAATGTTCAAACAGAACCACCCGTGCATAAGTATCAGTACCAAAGTTACATATTAAATCGAAAAAAACAAAATATAAGGATATTGAAGAAACTTCAGTATCTGATAAAACTGCAGAAAATAATAATACAGAAAGCATTGGTTTGCACTCTGAAGTATATATTCTAAATAACCTGAAATGAATTCAGAAAAATGTGTCGTTTTTTCGTAAAATACTAATATACAAATCATTTTAATAAGGTTGAAACAACAATTGATAATAAGAATGTCAATAATTGCCAGCCCTTGTATAAACCTTTAGTCGATACCATGGAAGTTTCAATTGATTATAGTGTAAATCCAACATATGATATTATAGGCAATGAGCAATTACTCGACATCGCAAATATTCCGAAAGATAATGAAGAATCTGGTGTTACAGAATTTTCAATAAGTGATGTGTTAGAAGATAGTGATGAATCCGACTTTACAGAAGTTTCAGAAACTGACATATTGGAAGATATATCTTCTGATTTTGAAGGCTTTGATAGTGATTATGGTCTATACTTTTCAAATTTCACATCGGCTAGGATCTTTAGTTGGGTTACTAAAAATATAATCTGTAAGTAATGTTAGTTGGCTGTGGTTAAAAAATCGAATTGTAACCTTCGAATTTTATTTGAACATTCCACTCAAAGAATCATATGATTTCAGGGCAATGTCTGCGAAATCACATTATATTCTCGAGTGGCATGTTTGAAGTGTTCGAAGAATACGTTTTACTTTATTTCAATTTATATTAATGTGAAGTAATTTACTGAACATGTACATAATGCATGCTGATTTCTTGTAGCGACCTCCACATATGAAGATCTTGTAAAGATTCTTAAGCACCCTAAATTTAAAAGAGAAGATGTTCCTACAAACATTTAGCAGATTTGGAAATGGAGAAATAGGCTACCTTTAGTTAAAGTAGTCCAACATAATGTACCTCTCTGTATGAAACGAACACCATCTACTTACGAATCTACGAAAAAGGCGTTTATTATTTCTCTGTTATCACATCTAGAACATATTTTAAACAATTCAGTGCTTATGTCAAAAATGTATTTTGGTCCTGGAGTTGTTACAAATAAAAAGCGGGAATTTTGGCATGGCAAATTATGGCAAGATTCACTATTATTTGGTAAAGACCAAATTAAAAATAACAAAGGTTAATAATTTATAAAATTTAATTTGTATATTTATTTATTTATTTAATTAATTTCTTATTTTAGTTTTTTTAAATATTTAACTAATTGTTGATAAATTATAAATTTTAATTTTAATTATTTATTAGTTTATTTATTTATTTGTTTGTTTTTTGCTATTTCTTAATTTTAATTTATTTATTTATTATTCATTATTATTATTTTTAATTTTTAATTTTTAAGCAATAAATCAAAATAACTGCTTTGTTGTTAGAATTCTATAGAGCCAGTGATTTTTTAATGTATCATGAACAATCATCAATATCTATTTGTCGTGTGTGTGGAGTAGTGGTTGATGAAATGGATAACAACTTACTAAAGTTGAAAGTTGATCGCATTATTTTACATAAAGACCTTCCTAACATCCGTCCCACTGATAATCACCATATTCATGGCAACGAAAAGGAATTATGGCTAATCGAGGGGGAAATGAATTTAGTTAATCCAGCAAATATAGAACAACATATTAATGTTTGGTTATATGATATGTCAGAGCCTTTAGAATATGAATTTTTTATTAAAGAAATCGTATATCATTTTGATGATAGATGGAAATACCATGAAATAAAAATGAGACATCGTCTACCTTGTGAAAATTTTACACTGATGCCATCACCACACAATTTACCTACTTTAAAGATTTTTCTCGACATTTACGTTGATGATTTTGGCACTTATCGAAATGTATACCATTTACTAGGAGGAGTTTATTTGCAGTTTGGCAATATGACGTTGGACTTCTGTAAGCAATTAAAAAACCATTTTTTAATTGGTTTTGTTCCATTTGGAGCAAATTTTAATGATTTCATTAAACCAGTACTTCAAGAAATAAACTGATTAGAAAACGGTCTTGCGATGACGACTTTATTGGGTAATACATAGGTTGTAGGTCAGTATCATTTCATTCAAAAAATCATTACTATATGGCTACTAGATAACATTATTTCAAAATTGTATCCTCTAAAATATTACTTTGTTCAAAATAAGCTTATGTGTGTTCCAAAATGGGTTCTGATTAATTCGCTGACAGTCATTTCACCAAAAGCTTATTTAGCTGACGTCACATAGGGTTAGAGTTAAGCATTTACTAGTTGCAGGTATTATATTTTTACAAAATTTCACCTAGCGTGATGTCAGCTAAATGAGCTGTAGGTGAAGTGATTGTTGTCGAATTCTTCCAAAATAACACATGTTCTGTAGAAAACATTAACATATTTAAATATATCAGATTCACATTTTATTTTGAAATAACGTATTAGGTGTCTTAAAATAATGATATAGTTGCTGTCAAACTATTTGGGACAGCGATAATTAATGTTATATAATTTTAGCAAAGAGTCAATATAACATTAATTATCTATAATTCGAGTCGTTTTAAATAGCTTGAACAGCAACTATTCATGCAAAGGTGGTATTTCACGATTGCAAGACCAGATTGTGTAGCAGGTTATGACTAATTGATAACATCGATTTATGCTAAATAGATTTTAATGTTGGAGTTAGGGTTAGAAAGAAATTTAGGCAAAACTTGCACCAAACTTATATATAAAATTTTTTCTTAAAGCACCAATAGCAGTTTCATAAGCAAATTATGTAAAAAATTTTTTTTAATTTTGTCACACATTCCGGATGTGCATAATGATAACAATTATACAGTATTCAGATCATTAAGTGTTTAATATTTTAACAACTATAGGTGGGATTGGATGCATTACAGCTGACCTGCCACAAGGAATTAACTTGGTGGATGTAAAACAGCATGGTGCTAATTATGGTTACCGGACTTGCAATGTGTCGAATAATAAATATACCGATCCAAATTATAATTACATACAAAATGCTCGCTTTCACCAACAGACAGAAAAATAGATCGCAGAGATTGAAAGCCAATGTTCAAAGGCAGATATGGAATGACTAGCAGTTAAGTATGGATTGGCAAAGCCTGGACCTTTAAGGATACTTAAGTGGGACCGGCATGTCCAAACTCCACAAGATATATATCATTCCATGGCCGGAAAAACTCGTACCCTTTTAGAGGCAACGTTTAATGCATTTAATCTAAACAGTGAAAATGCTTTTTTAAAACATTGAAGAGATATAGAAAAACCAGCCAATTGGTATCGAATGCCCAATCCACTACAACATCATCAAAGTTTCATGTTTTCTGATGTGTTAAGGCTTGCGATGTTAATGCCATTTATACTTCGACGATTTTTAAAGCCTCAACATATCAAGACAAAAACTTTGAATAATTGGCATACAAGACAAAGTTCAGCTGTGCTAAATTATATGTTTGTTGAACAATTGAAGCAAAAGTGCTAAAGCTTGCATTTTCACTTACAATGACAGAAAGTCATTACAAAGAATTACAAGAAACGCTTGAAAATGAACGTGAAATGTTAATACAGGCAAGTAATTAATTTCAAACCATTAAACAAAAATTTAGCAACATGTGATTGTTATAGCCTGAGTTAAAGATAAAAAGATATAGTCTATATGTAAATTTCTTCTTTTTTTTTTTTTTTTTTGTTAAAGGACAGTTTTATAGGCCAAATTAAGTTATTAAGTAGATTATTGATCAATAATCACATGGTCACCAAAATTTTTGTTTAACTTTTATATTCTCAATATTCAAGACATTTTAACTATTCAGCATCCAAGAATGCCTAAGCATGTTGATATTAATTCTTCAGGCTATAATATATATTATACTACTATGTGATGTACCTTTATGCTATTCATTAGTTTTTTAAAAAAATTTACTGACTGGGACGATACCTTAATTCTACATATTAAAGATTGGAACCATTTAGTCACTTAACAATTATTTCATAATGCTGGGTCAAAGTATATTGGTCATGGGCCAGAATAATTTTAATGCTGGCTGAATTAAACGGTTAATACAGTTAATCGTTAATGTATTAAATCAAATTATTTTAAATAATGTTTTTTTTTTGGTACAACGTTCAAAACCTTTATCCAAAAATGTCTATTAACAGTAATTAAATTACTAGTATATGATTTCGTTTAAACTAATTGGATATATATATATATATTGTTTTTAGTTATTTCCAAATAGCTTTACAAACCTACTGAATTTGCATGTAAATGTTCACCTTTTATAGCATGCCCGGAATTTTGTGACACTTGTAAACACTGCTGTGGCATAAAGGAGATAGTATATCAAACATTTAAGAATATGATTCCACATATAAATTGTAAGGCAATTGAACTTGACCTTACCCGACGATACAACACATTGCAGGCGTTACAACATCTTATCGATAGCTGGATAGATCCTCATTTTAGCACAAGAACCAATGCAATAAATAATCTTGCTATGGACCCAAATATTTATACAATGCTATCTAGTTGGTATGCTACTGCTATGAAAAGTTTGCCCATATTTACAAGTAATCAAAATGTTGAAAATGAAAGTAAAGGTGTGTGTAATTTTTATTTAATTATATTTTATTTTTTTTTTAGTTTATTTTTTGGTTTAATGAATTACATATTTTTAAATTATATTCTTATTTTTTTTTTTTTGTTATTTATTAATTTATTTATTTTTGGAATTAATATGTTAATTTAATTTTTTTTTTTTTTTTTACAGATATTGTAATATGTTATAATAAAAACTTTATTGATATATCACTTAATAATAAATGGAATAACAATAAAGTTAAAAATGCTGGTCTATCCAAAAATTTAGATGTTAAGCACCTATTCTTTCAGGATTTTCATAGAGCATATGCTAATTATTTAAATTTAAAAGTTGCAATACTTCATAAAAATATAGAATTTTATAATTCGATTACTTACACTGTTCTTGAAAATAATCAAGATTCAATTCGGTTAAATTTAATGTTGGTGATATTGTGGAACTATCAGAAGAGATCGAGGGTACTGCATATGCCAAAATTAATTCAATTTTTCAACATCAAGCCAACAATGGTTAATACCATGCATTTTTTTTGTTTAATTGGTTTCAGGCAACCAATAAGCTTGATCACATCTTGAAATGTCCACTTTATAACATCCAGAAGCCTGAAGAATCATATTGGTATCGAACTTTTCTGATTAATTTTGTTGATTATGCACCATGCGTGCATTTCATACACAATTGTACAAATACATGTACAATTAAACATGATGAAACTAATCGAAGTTATATTTTAAATAAATTTTATTATAATGCAGTATAAAATCTGCACAAATATGTACAAATTCTG